TGGGACACGAGGCGCCGCGGCAAATGGAGGAAGCAGTCGCGAGCGTTGGTGAAGGCCACAGTCACGGCCGCCCCACCCGCACCCACCAGGCGTTCGCTGCCCCACATAGTATGCCAACCCGGACACACCCGCCGCCCACCCACACCGACTCCGGCCGAGCCCGCAGGCCCGGGCTTAGGAGCGGGATAACATCGATCGGCCCCGCCCCCTCGTCCCCTTCCCGCGGCCCCGCCCCTTGTCCATTTCACGCGGCCACGCCCCCTTTCTCCCCTGGCCTCTCCGCCGCGCCGCTCGGGGGCAGCACCCAGTCCACAAGTCCTCTTTTGTAGGAAACGACGGCCGACGCTGTCGATTCTCCGGCCAATCCCGGCACGCCTTGACCCATCCCTATCTCTTATTGGCTAAACGGGCGTGCAGCCGGCGGATGTTGTCGTTTCTGTGAGAGCCAAAGCCGGCAAGATGGCGTCGGGCGGCGGGGAGCTGGGTGGCTTGTTCGACCACCACGTCCAAAGGGCTGCTTGCGACACGCGGGCCAAGTACCGGGAGGGGCGACGGCCTCGTGCCGTGCGGGTAAAGTGGTTTTTGTTTCATTTGCTACCCTCAGTAGTTTTATGTGAACTCTAGCCCCACGCGCCCAGCCTGTGTGAGTGAAGGCTTGCGAGGCCTCGGTCGGACCCGTCTCCTTGCAGGTGGGTGTGAGGAACCCTGGGCATCCGCTACCAGAGGTTCCCACGACCCCTTTGGTCACTGCGAGGGCGTCCGCTCTGCGGAAACGGGGCTTTGTTTTAATCATTGTATCTTCCGTGTTTACGGCTGTCCTTAGCACATAGGAAGCACTTTGAATATTTAACTCTTTCCAGTAGCTGTACCCAGCCCATTTCTGCAAAATCTACCAATCGAAGGTAGTCTATGTGAGGCTTTAGTTGGGCGAATTTACGTGGAGTGAGCTCTTCAACAGAGAGAAGGGCAAAGTTTTTGATTTTCTGTTTTCTGCAAACTGGTTGGAAAACATTTCTTGTTTTTAAAGCTTTTGGACATTTTTTTTAAAAGCAGATTTGTCTTAGACTTACTTATGAGATACATTTAACTTGTTTGCATTTCTTTTAGGTATATACAATTAATTTGGAATCTCGGTACTTATTAATACAAGGAGTTCCTGCAGTGGGAGCGATGAAGGAATTAGTTGAACGATTCGCTCTATATGGTGCAATTGAACAGTATAATGCTCTAGATGAATACCCAGCAGAAGAATTTACAGAAGTTTATCTTATTAAATTTATGAATTTACAAAGTGCAAGGTAATGTGCAAGTTAAGCACTGTCCTACTGCCCCCACAGACCCCAGGGTTCCCACATTCATACCTGAATTACCCAATAACAACATGGTTGTTCTTGTCTTCCTCCAGTCTTTTTAAACGTTTGCCTTTCTAAAAACACTTTCTATCACATCAGTCTCATGTTTAACACTTTGTCTTGTAGGGTGGTAGATTAAAAATTGGGTTTAGAGTAAGTTTTCCAATTCCCTTGCTTACTAACATCATGATCTTGTACAAGTTATTAAACCCTAGTAAGCCTGTTTCGCTTGTTGTATAAAATCCATCTGATAAAAGGACTTGCTTACTGAGGTTGTGTGAGGCTGAAATGAGGTAATCCATGTAAAGGGCTTAACATAACGCCTCCTGTTCAGAATGCAGTAAACATTAGTTATTGAGGTTCTTACTGTTGTGCACCTATGTGAATTAACGCCATCTCTTCCAGCTTTCTGTGTAACATAAGCTCAGTTCCAAAAAGGCTGAAATGTAAAATACCGTACCAGTTTTTTTGTAAACCCTCCCTCCTGATTTGTTCCAAGACCCATCCTTCCCTGGTTATTACAATTCATATTTTTCTGTGCCACAAATAGGACTTGTCTGCCATAAAGCACTTATTTTATGGGGTCAGGTGTTATTCTCAGGTAGCTCTGAAATGCAGTCTCACTTTCCTAACCAACTTGCCAGCTCCTCATCATTAGGGAAGCTATTTTCTAGAGTCTCTGCATTTCCCACAGCACCTACCTAGTACAACTGGTCTTGGAGTTCGGCATCTGGATTTGAATCCTAGCTCCTCTCTCCAGGGTAAACATGGCCAAGTTCTAAATCTCCCCAGGCCTTACATTCATCATAGGATTGTTGTGAAATGTTAATTCAAGTGAAGCACTCAGGACACTGCCTGGCATGTGGTAAAATCCCAATAAATATTATTATCCCTGAGCACAGAAGTACTTCAGTATTTATTATAACGCCTGACCAGTTATGGATATTCAGTATTAGTTGAATGATACCATCCTCTCATTGATTAGTTGTTATATATTCAGTATTTCCTCAATTATTGAAAACTTTACAGTTACAGTATTTTTATTAATTTTTTATATAGGAACACATTGTGATGAGAATGCTAAATTGGGTATAAGCTAACTCTCAAGGGCCATTTAACTCCACACAGAGAAAAATCTCTATTTTATGGCAATGGATTGTGTACCTTAGGCTAACCAGCTGGATTCTAAGTTGGTTAAAGGGAGTCTAGATATGTGTGGATGACTTAGCTCAAACCCTATTAACAATGTTGGGAGAGGGGAGGAAAGGCTCTTACTAGTCGAGTATGCACCAGATCAAGAAGGTCAATTCTATCCATAAGCAAATTACCTAATTCCCAAACCATAGGATGTACACACACATAGCAAAAGCTGAGCTTTGCTCTTTAGATCTATACATTGTGTACTAGTCAAGTTTTATCCTAAGTAAATCTAGATTAATAAACCATGCTATAATGTATTTCTGTTTAGGATAGCCAAGAGGAAAATGGATGAACAGAGTTTCTTTGGTGGATTGCTTCATGTGTGCTATGCTCCGGAATTTGAGACAGTTGAAGAAACTAGAAAAAAATTACAAGAGAGGAAGGCTTATATAGCAAGAGCTACTAAAAATAAAGGTATGGAAAGCCTGTTACTAAACACCTATGTGTCAGGCATTCTGCTAAGTATAGCTTTATGGAGCTCTCAGTCTAGTGGGAAGAGGGGCAAGTAAATGATCACAATATTCAACAACTGTAACATGATTCTTTGTAGCACTCAACGTAATCTGGGATGGGAAGAAAGAGATGTTGGTTTGTGGGAGAATTCCTACAGGATGAGAAGGGGGCTGAGTTTTGAAGGATAAGTGGACATTATTCAGAAGTTGAGAGGAAGAAATGGAAAGGTGGGCCAGATAGCATGTTTAAAGGAATAAAGGAGCATCGTGCATTCTAAGGAACTGTGAATAGTACAGGATAACCACACATGGGCTTCATAAAGGGCCCTGTTTCCCATGTGAAGGAATTAAAGCTTTGACTTGAAGTGAGAAACAGGATTCACAGACCAGTTCCCATTGGCTAATCTAAAACTGCTAAAAGTGGGAAAGTTTTACTTTTGACCAACAGTTGGCCAGGTGCCTCATATGCCCAACTGAGTTTCCCTAGACACAAATTCCAGATGCCTGGAATGGAGTCATGAGATCTGGTACGTGGGTTGTAGGACTAGAACAGTCAGAATTAGATTAAGATAGCATGTGTAGTCTGAAATCTGAATGCTACCAGAGGCTTAGATTACAAAATTTTCACCCTTTGGGTAAAAGTCAATGTCCATAAAGCTATTGACTATGATGAGTTTGTGGCTGATTAGGGAATGGGCATGTGGCAATAGTGAAGAGAGAAATAAGTGGGGAGACTCTTGAAAACCTTACCTGAAAATTTGGGTATACAACTGAGAGTCCCTGTAGACACTGAACTTTAACCTGTAGGATGTGTAAATAACTAGCTCCATACAAACTTACATGTGTGGGGGGCAAAGGAAATTACTAAATATGGGCCCAGCATATTGCTTCCTGTAAAAACTAACACAAACTACGCAGCATATACACTCGTACTGTAAAAAACAAAAAAAAACAGCTTTGTATGTAGTGACATGGAAAAACTCTCCAAAATCTACAGTTAACTGGAAAACAAAAAGGTGCAGAGAAATGGGTATTACAGGAGGGTAAAGAGGGTAGGTAGAAGGAAGACATACTGGACAGATTAATAAGAAAGTAAGAATAGTGATTACTTATGGGGGGTGGAAACCAAGGCATACGGGGAACAAAGAAAGTGTAGCGTGACACTATTATACCTTTATCCTTTTTAGCTTTTAAACCACATGAATGTATTGCCCGCCCAAGAAATAAAATTGTAACATTTTAAAATTTAACATTTTAAAACAATGTTTGTTTTTAGAATTACACTTTTCTGAATGATGAAAACAGATTAACTATTTCTGTTTCCCTTTCTTTCACCTTTTAAATTATAATATAAAGATTATTTCATGACAAAGAAGAAACTGGTTACAGAATATAAAGACACAAAAGATTTTAGACAGGACTTCCACTCAAAGAAATCTGGATTCTGTGAAGCTGCGCTGAACACTTCTGCTGGGAACTCAGATCCTTGTCTTCCTTATTCTTGTGAATTGCCTTTGTGTTATTTCTCCTCAACATGTATGTGTTCATCAGGAGAGTACGAGAACAGAGCATCAAGCTCCTCTCAGTATGGGAGAAACCGTGATGAAACAGTGGGGCATTGTAACCACAATGACTCTTTGCAGAAAGTGCAGATGAAAACTTTAAAAAATCCAGTGGCCTGCCCTGGTGCTCAGAAGGCTTTTACTCCTTCAGAGGCAGTTGACAGATTTATGCCTAGGATGACACAACTGCAGGAGCGGAAGAGAAGAAGAGAAGATGATCGTAAACTCGGACCTTTTCTTGAAACAAGCACTAGCAGTAATGAGGTGCTGATTGGGCCTCTGTTATCAGACATACCCAAAGTGGATATGCATGATGACTCCTTGAATACAACAGCGAATTTAATTCGGAATAAACTTAAAGAGGTAAGATCATTTAAAGAAGTCTCCTAAGAGATGATTTGGTTATAGGACTAACCCTAAATGGAGAATTATTTATGAGAACTATAGTATCATTTACTATTTTTCATTTTTTAGTTTTTGATGTGTTTACTGAATTTACTGAATTTTACTAACAAATACCACTTGCTTTGATACCATTAATCCTTACCTTAAACAAGAAACAGAATACTAGCCCTGCTGGTGTGGCTCGGTTGGGTGTCATCCTGTGCACTGAAAGGTTGCTGGTTCGATTCCCGGTCAGGGTACATGCCTGGGTTGGGGGCTTGATCTCCAGCAGGGGCAGGAGGTAGCTGACCGAAACTCAGTGTTTTTCTCTCTCCCTCTCCCTTTCCTTTCCTCTCTCTAAAAATCAATAAAAAACATCTTTAACAAAAGAAACAGAATACTATGTTTTATAATGTGACTAAGGAGGGGCAAGGTAGCTTATTTTATGTACATTTCTTACCTGGAAATTATTATCTGATTAAGGATAAGGGGTGTTTTATAGTAATAAAAATCTATGG